AATTAAAGAGATAATCTCTTCTATATAATTAAAATATTGCATATCAGTACTATTTTTTTAAACTGTATATTTTTACAAGTATTGAAAACTTAAGCCAGTTTCAAGAATGTTATCGTAAGCTTTCATGTTTCATTCTTGATTATTTATAGCAAACATCTTTAATTATATTTAATCTTTAGCAGCAACCATACATTATTTGAACTATGTAATAATATTTGATAAAGTTCATATATAGCATATCAATGGTAATACATTTTTACTTTCACAAAACTTTGCTTCGACATTGCTGTGAAATGCTTGCAGTATATGAAATGGACTGTTACAGGCTTGTGTATTTGTAACACGCTCAAACTAAGAAGGTAATTTCTTCAGTGTTATTTCTCACACTTATGCATCCAATCTAGTTATATCATAATGCTTTGATTTATGTTGACTGACATCTAATCTAACCTATTATTTCAAAATGAATTCTACTAGATTTGGGGGAGTTTACTTTTAAATAAACATACATAGGAATCTAGTACTAACATTCTTCTCTGTAGACTGACCGGCATCTCAACTCTATATGTATTTAGATCATACTCTGCTGACTTCAATGGGACTTATTTCCAGGCAATGTGTTTAGGGCCACAGTGCATAAATAGAATCACCTTATATAGACCATAATCTAAACTGTGAATCTTATAATTATGAAATTAGATTGCGGGGGGGGGGAGTAAATGAACATAAAATATCGTAAATATGAAACATTTGTAATTAAACAAGTATAATTAATTTTGAAAAAATGCAATTTAAAATACTTAAAATTAATAGAAAATGTTACAAGTACAGTATTGGTTTTAGAAATTTATATCACAGGCAATCAGAAACAATATATATGTTTATATCTGACTCGCTGATGTTACAGAAGGCAAAACCACTGTGCTTTTTAAAAACAGTATTTTGTTTTTAAAAAAATGAGAAATATTGGACAATTAATCAGCAAAAAGCAACTCAAAGCTTTCAAATGTTGTAATAAAAAATGCCAGTTAACTTCCCAAATACAATATACAAACACAACTGGATACTCTCTCCAAAACAGTTTGTCAAAAGTTCCTGGGAATGAAACAGACTGAAGGCAATACATATTCTGATAAATTAATAATTTAATTGAATAATTGTAATTCTGAAATAATTTATTCAGCAGCAATGCCAATGATTTCAGTAAAATATTCTGAAAATGTTTGGATGTGCTATGCTTCTGTCTTGCTTTCTGTTGTATATACGTAAAAAAAAAATAGACCATACTTTTGGAACAATCTTATAGTATGGGGGCATATGCCAGTTCATCAGGTACTGTGGTATCATAAAATAGAACTTTCCAAGGTTTTATCATTGCACAGTGTTTTAAAATATTGTAACTATACTGTATATGTTGCAGTCTGAATGACATCTTTTCCAAAACTCATATTCTGACTGAAAACCTGAGCTTCCTATATTTCCAATAGTATCCTAACAATGATTAAGCGAAGTATGATACTCCTTATCTAATAAATAACCAATTGAAAATGAAGTGTGCCTTGCCACGCAGCAGCAATCAGCTTTTATCTCTGTCCAATCAAGTTGACATCTGAACTGCCTAATCCTCCTTTTGTAAGGCACATAAGACTTCGTTGTCACTGTTGGTTTTGTGAATTGTCTATATAATCTGCTCTGATTTCCTAAAGATGACAGATCCTAACAAACAACCCTGCTTTGCTGCACTGCAGTCAATGCAACAGTTGAGATTAAGGTACAGATGAAGATACTAGGATTTAATCACACCTGTCCACAACTACCATACTGCCTCACACCTCTCAGAAGATTAACGTAAACCAGTTTGGAACCATAAACCAATCATTATACCCTTAAAATAAAGAAATGTGCTTGGAAATATGCACACTTTGCTTACAACTTCTTTACTCTGTTAATCTACTCTATAGTTCTTAGGCCTTCTTTATATATATTATAAATAAAAAAGTATAGCAACAGCTGTTTAACACATAATTTAATATAGGTTTTAACACTATAGCACAGGGATGTGTATCTTTGCTAAATTTCATGTCTCCATCTTGTCAAATACATAACATTTATGAGATGGAAATAAGTAAAGAATATATATCAGACAAATACTTGGGATAAATGTCATTTGCAATAGAAAAGATGAGTGAACTATTTTTGTTTTCATTAATAGGACTTTTTTACGGTCCATGTATAAAAATATCAGAATTTAAACTATCCCAATCTATGTTTTTTTTAAAAAATAATGTGACTAAGTGGCATAATTGAAAAGTTGGTCTATGTCCAACAGGTTTAAATCTTAACATGTTTAATGTAAGCATTCTTTATGGTATTTAATATGGAAACATGATGCTATGTAAACATTAAAATAAATAAATAAAAAATCCTGGGATAGTCAGGGAGAGAAGTAAAAATGGCATTGTCTAATTTGTTAACACTTAAAAATGACTGAACCATAGTTTCTTACTTTGAAGGCAATACTGCTTACAAAGTATTTAAAATCTAGCCTAAAGAAATGTATTTCTCAGAGTTCTATAGATCTTAGTATCTATGTGATTTAAACTGTGGGTTTATTTTTCACCAGTATCATAAAGAGAACATATAAGAGTTAAGCAAGTTTGCAGTTCAGTCATGCTAACTGTTTAAAGTTTATTTCTATTTACTCATCCAATAATTATGTATTTTATAATGTGAGACAAAAATAGTTTTATTCCCTTATTAAGTATGTATCCTTAATTAAAGTACAGATATAGTTGTTTGTATATTGCATAATATTAATAAAATCTGTTATTATCTTGGTATTAGATGACCAAAAAAGTATATTTTAATTATTAATCCTGGTAGTACATCATTATTTACAATTGTATTCTAAATAAATATCTTTCAATACAGTGTTTTATGATTACATTATTGCATATGTAAATTATTCTATAAAGGACAATTCAGACATTAACTTTAAATAATGTAGTCTAATAATAGGTCATATAGTTTTTGTGCCATTTTAGTGCGTCCTAATAGAGTATTACTCAGCTCTGAATCTAGAATATTCCATTATTACATTTCTAATTTATATGCAGTTATATATCACCTGTTACACAGATGTGACTTTAATAATTTAGCATACTTTAAAAGAAAATCTAAGGAAGTGTAATCAGCTGGCAGTCTACACTGTTCAAAGCACTGTTCGTAACAACCCCAAAGATACTTGTTTCTGATAATGAGTTTCATTTCATAAACCTTCACTCATTTATATGACTGTCATGCAAGGCACTGTTGACTGAAACTTAACTCATGAGATGGCTTGCATGTTTCAAAACTAATATTTGAATATAGAAGAGCAATTTATTCTGTATAAGAAGTAAAACAAAGTAAAACATATCTGCAATAATACTGACAGAACTTATCAAATCCTCACGATTTTAGTCAGTATTCCTAATAGCACTAAATAATCTTTGTTACATTAAAATGAATGCAATAGCCATTTAAGAATAATAGGAATTGCCTTAACACTTTCTAAATACGTGAATTTTATTGCCTATCACTTCTGGCAGTATAAAAAAACACAGTACTTTTATTATTTTGATACCGAGCTACAGCTTATCAAAGCTGTGCAATGAAAATCCATTAATCTTAAATGTATCAGACTATCTGATACAATGCGGACTATATGTTAAAATCTTAAATTGAAAAAAGAAATCAAATGAGACTGGTTATACCTGAATACTGCTCTTTAAAACAGAATTATTACTTCATAGGTACTCTGCCTCTGCTATGCCTTATAGCTTAGTACTATTATATTTCTTGTAGGTATCTATGTTATGCAATCGCTACTGAATGCAATTTAAAGTAATAGACTTCAGATATACAGCTAGGACAATTGGCTCTTAGAACATATTTATATGTTGTACTAAAACTATATAGAACTGATACCATTTAAAGACAATTGCTTTTATAATTCACTAAAAGACATTTCTTCTCAAGCCAAGAATCTTTAGTCCACCTCTGAAATACTGGCAGATTGCCCTTGTGCTGCTTACTTATCCAACAGTAGCAGATATAAAGTACATGCCATAAGTATCTTATTTAAAGTCCAATCTGTGCTACTTAAAGATGAAACTGCCCAACATTTGCAAGTAATGTCAATATTAAAGCACAAAGTTCTATTATTGTAAAATATATTAATAAACAATATTAAAAGCAATTTTTCCTATTAATTGCCAAGTCTGTTAGGAAACTACTAGATCCTATGAAGAAGCTATAACTACTTTATTTTTTTACAATGAAAGAGTATTCTGTATAGATTTCCCTTGTCCTTTCATACTCATCTTCAGCCTGAAGTTTTAATTAAGGGGGGGGGACTAGGCTTTTAAAGTGCAATGCAACCTCGCTCAACTTATAGCTAAAGTTAGAAAGACTGCAAAAGTGGAACATCACTTCCTTTTCCATTCTCATGTTCTAATTTCCTCCATTTCATAAAAAAAATCTTATAAAGGCAAACGTGTTGGGAGAGATGCTGTGATGAAAACCAAAGCATGAAAAGTGATGTACTGCACACACATCGAAGTTTAAAAGGGCATTTGCTCTTATGCCAGGTTATTTCTTCACTGCACTGTTTGATAATTCATGGGGCAAGTACTCCAAGGTCATACACATTTGGTAAAATGTTAAAAGACAAACAACCCTAGCTCACTCCACAATACCAAAATACACCAATGACGTGAACTAACTTCATGAAACTTTAAACACTCAAGCAGATGGAGGGGAAGAGAGGAAGACATTCTCAGCAACTTACCTATATGACTTAAGAGTGCCACATTTCCTCAAAGCCATCTACTGCTGGCTGACGCTACCATCCCCAGGACACCTGACTTTACTGCCATACAAGTCACAATGCCTATCATTAAGACATCCAGCAGTGTCAACACAGCCTGACTTCTAAATGGAATTGCACGTGTACTTACATCGCAAATGTTTGGATGATCAGACGAGTCCTTGAGAGATCTTTTTTCCTCTTCTTGAGAAACAAGGGAGAGAAAGAGAAGTGATTGAACAGAGCAGGGGGGGGAGGAGGAGGAGAAGGAGGAGGAGGAGGAAAAGGAACGGAGGGAAAAAGCTTTTAATTCTTCCAGCCTTGTAAGATGTTCTCCACCTGGTCCAACACGCAGCCTCGTTTAACCACACATGCACACGGGCGCGCGCGCGCACAACAGCGCGCGCATACAGACACACAACCTTGAAAATCAATCCAATGAACCGCCAGGAGCTCTGTGGTGGCGCTGGTGGCGCTGCTGGTGGTGGTGGTGGTGGCGGCGGCGGTCGTGTGTGTCCCTAAGCGTGCAGCAGGCGCAAGTGCCCGTGCTGCTGGTCGGATTAAAAGTAAGCGGACTCGTCCTGAGAGCGTCCAGGAAGGAAGTGACAGGAGGCGAATGGGGAAAGCACAGCTCACGGGCTTTGTAACATCACGGATCGCAGGAAGGAGGGGAGGGGGGAGAGGAGAGAGGCAGGGAAGGGAGGATTCAAAAACTCCACGCCCGGCGAGGCTTCTCTTCCTTCTGCCTTCCCTCCTCCTCTTTTTTTTCCTCCCTCTTTTCTCTCTCTCTTTCTCCCACAATCCCAAACGGACTCTCTCTTGCCGAGCTGGAGAAATAATCAGTTTCACTCTTGAAAAAAGGGGGCGGGATCACATCCCGAACGCGTTTTAATAAAACAAACAGAGCGCAGAGAGAGCGACCAGCGCAGAGCAGAGCAGAGGCGGTGGCAAAGAGCTCTCTCTCTCTCCCTCTCTCTCTCTTTCCGCCTTCCGTGCCCCTCTCTAGTCTCAACGAGATTGATAAATTACTCCACTACCCTACTTTAATTATGTATATGGTATGCGGAATAAATCACCCAACATCAGGCACCTCAATCAAGCACTTTTTAAATGATAATTGCATCTGGGCTGAATCAATCTTGCCATGCCTGACATTTTGCTAATTTTAGTTTTTTACCGCCGGGGGTGGGGGGGTGGGGAAGAGAGAAGGGAGGGCTGGTTTAGCGGTTTAGGAGAGTTGGCGAAACGACATATGCCATGGAGCAACCCTAATGACAATCCTGTATTATTACACGCATTCGTAGAGATCGCGGCAATAAGGTGGAGAATCGCATCGCTCTTTCCCCTTCTCCCCCCCCCCATACATCTCCATGGGAAGATGACGATGGGGGCCTTTAAAAAATTGGGCTGGGGGTGGGTGGGATAGAGGGCGAGATTGCTGCCGGAACCAGCCGAAGTAGGTCTTCTTGACCAGAAACCTGAGGCGGGAGGAGGGGGGGGGGGGCTTAAGAGAAAGGGACTCCGCATTCCTTCAGCGGCGACCTTTTCAGAAAGGCTCTTCGGATGTTCGCCAGAGACCGGAGCGAGAAGGGCTTTTGCTCAAGCCTTGGTCCTTTGGGGCAACTCGTTTTCGCCCTTGTTTCTTTTCCGCTTCTGCTCAACGTAGTAGCGAAATCGATGGACCGATCCGAAAACGGCGCTGCGAGAGCGAAGCGGCGCGGTCCGTCCGGGACGGCCTGCCAGCCAACTCCTCCGGCAGAAGCGGACTGCGGGTGGGTGGAGGGGGTGGGAAAGGGGTGAAATGGGGAGCCTGCGCCGTTCTTGGCGGGGAAACGGAGGAAGGACTCCGCCGACTTCCACCAGGGAGGCTGGGTCAGAGCTATCGGGCCAACTTTCGAGGCACTTTGGAAACATCCCCCGCCCTCTTCCCCAATATCTGGCAGGGATGGGATGCAAGACAAGCAGCGGATGCGACTCCCCCTCCTTTTATTATTATTTTTTAAATCATGGCCGTTGACATTTCCTTTCTCCTCCCTTTTTGCCTCCATCCCTTTTCTGCACCTTTCTTAAGACACTGAGTCTGCAAATCGGCTCCTTTTAGTTTTCGTCCGGCTTCCGCCTCGTAGCGCTAGGCTGTCCGCCCTTGTTCCGAGACTAAACTTTTGAAGGCGAGGATGGAAAGAAGAAAGTCAGATAAAAGCAGCCGCCCCAGCTCGCCAAGGACACAGTAGTAATAGTAGCTAAAATAATCGATCCTTTCTTTTTCCTGGCTGATTCCTGACTTTTAGGCGCTCTTTTTGCGCGGATATGCTTTTGCTAGCAAGATTGCACGTTTCCTCCGTATAAAAACGCTTTGCTTCCAGAAAGTCTGCCGTGCCAACTCACCGCTTCAGAATCAGGCGGGAGTAGTCCAAAAAGCGAGAGTAGCCTTCGCTTCGTCACCGTAGGCTGCAATCCTACACGCGCCTTTCCTTGGAAGTACTGTAGAGTCCCCTTTAGATTGACACGAAGTGACCTTCCAGAAAAGGGACGGTCTTAGGGCCCTATCCATTAAACTTTACAAGTCTGCAGTTCTCTTTTGGGGTTGTTTTTGTGAACATTTGCGGCTTGCCATTGATATACCCATGGGAAAAGGTGGGGGATCAATACATAAAATATTGTTGCCCATAAAGCTGCGGACAGGAAGGCACTACAGAGAGTGATAATTCTGCACAAGAAACCATTGGTTGCCCTCTGACACCACTGGATGACATTGCCAGATCTCGCTGCTTTAGCAGAGTAAGGAAGATACTCAGAGATGATTCACACCCTGGTCAGTGTCTCTTTGCACTTCTACCATCAGGCAGAAGACATCAAAGCATAGCCATCAGAACAAATACGTTTAAAGATAGTTTCTATCCTTGGGCTGTGAGACTTTTAAATACAACCACAATCACTCCATGCACATACCAGTTTTTTTTTCTTTTTCTTTCTTTTTTCGTTTCTGTTATAACTTTGCACCAGTGAGGTTAAAACCATTTTCATTGTATTTATGTACAACGACAATAAAGATTATACTTATACTTATAATACAAAGGCAATAATTTTAAGGATGATGCCAGCCATTACAAATGGATATTCTATTATTATCATTCACAGCAACTATGTTACTGTATCCAGAAACTTTGCCCTTCTTCAGAAGGTTGGGCAAAATGCAAATCACCAACATGGGGATCAAGCAAAATAGGGGAGCAGTGAACAAAACCCCAATTACTTTGCACAGTATCTAGAAACATTTTCTTCTTTATTCTCACTCTTTTTTTGCACCTTAACCTTTCTTCTGAAGAAGAATTTTAGAGAATTTGGATGTGTTTTCACTGTGTTACGAGACACTTTAGTTAGTCCTACAATCTTTCAATTGCTGAAATTAAGGTGTTGACCTAATGTGAATTCTAGAATGGGCAACATGACTACTTTGGGTTTTAATATAATCCTACTTTCTCTTTTGTTCCTTTTTCTTCAGATATCATTGCACCCCTCTGCACAATTCTTTTGCAACTTTGGACAAAAATTAAGTACTTGTAATTAAATATTCCAGGGCCAGGGTAAAGCAATTCCATTTTTTAAAAATGCACAATCTCCGAGAGTAAAGGTAGGAATTGTTTAAAAAGGAGACTGGAAGCAAGGCTATATTATTCATCAGTTAAATGAAGGGATTCTCATATAAGTGCAAAAATGATTCTGTGCTGTTAAAACACTGGAAATTTCTCAACCCAGCTGCAGAAAGCTCAGACATTTCATTTGGGTTGAAGCCAAGTAAAGCATATTCATTTTCCTGATGCATTTCATGAACTAATGAAATTTTCTACCAGTTGCAGTAATCTCCCACTGGTCATAGTAAAATTGCAGAGCACAGGACATGGCAGTTCCTCGAGAATTAAGATGGGGTTGCTTTGCTCATTTATAAATTCAATAAAATCAATATTGCTTCATCATTTTTGGGGGATGACCGGCTTATGGAAGATGGAAGTTTTTATGATATTGGGATGGTTCACTATCTTACAAGGAAAACTTATCTGATAAACTTCATTACTACTAAGTTCTTCACCAGGACTACATAAATACAATACATTCAAGTACCATTGAAGTATAGTCTGTACTACATTCTTGAAGTCAGATTTCTAAAGCTTTGTAAAGCCCCAGCACATAGATGGCACTATAGATAATATAAGGGAGAATTAAATTAAGCCTTTAGAGAAACCAGTAGATGAGTGAAAATCCATGAATATCAATCCTTAGTTTTATGATTATGATTTCAAGTACTCTTTTCCTGCAACATTTTTTAAAATTCTCATCCTATATTGCCTTTTAGTGTTATGAAGCATGGGTGTCCACAGGATAGGCTAATAAAAGTCAAGTTAGCAGTTGCAATTGTGCAAACAATGCTGATCTTGACTTTTTAACATTCCTACTATCAAAGAACTTTGTTAAACCATTATGCAGTAATGCAGAGCTTTGGTGGGTATCTTATGTTCAGATCTAGTGCATTGATCTACAATTAAGATGGAATGAGGAGAGCTAGTCCTGACTTAGGCATTAAACCACAGGGTGACCATGGCTTAGTTTCTTTGGTTTAGTCTAAGGATAGAGGTAATCCTTAGACTACCCTAGAGGTATTGCGATAAAAACTACTTGGACTTGTCCATGTAAGTCACCATGAATGAAGACTGAATTGATGTACCAAAGAAAAAAGTGACTATATCCTATGTATGCTTAAATATAAGTATTTATATGTTTTAAACATTGTTCATTTTGTTTTTCCTTTATATATTTATTTGTATTTTATTATTTCATTTATTTTCCATTTTGAAAAATGAAAATGGATAAGACAGATCTGTGACCTTCCAGAATTGAGGTGACAGAAATGAAAAAGTACATTTATATTATTTATAATGCAAAAAGTTTTGTGTCATTTGACAGTATACTTCAGAAAACAAAATCAGACTAGAACAATACATTAAGAAGACATATACATTTTTTATTCATTATGGGGTGGACTTGCCATTCTACTATTTCCACAGTCAGACACAGTTTCCTGTTGGCAAAGATATAACACATGAAAAGAGACCCTAAAATTATTTCAATAGTCAATTGGAAGTTTTTACTGAACATTTCTATTTTAAATTTATTTACATATTAGGCACAGTAAAACAGTGATTAAAACAATGGAGAAATCTAGGAGCATCTGAAACCATATGATCGCATAGCATCATCACTACAGCTCTTATCTAAGAATAATTGCTATGCACTCGTATTTCACGTGCTGCAATCTACATCAATCATAAAGCTATCACTCAATGAATCCCAATAAGATGTGGTACTTTGCCTTTTGGAATGTATTGTGTTTTACATGAACTAGATTTGATCTGAAATGACTGTTTACACAAGGAAGTAGTAATATATGCCTCACACATGGAATATTGTAAGAACTGATCAATGCATATGTGCTTATAAACATGCTTTAACCACATTTCCTCAACCAGGGAAAACTTATTAGAGCATGCCTAGATATTTGCAACCAGAATGAAGCTCCATTGTTTTTAGTGGGGCTTATTTTTGTATCAGTTTTCCTTTTCTAGAGCACAACTATCCATTTGCAGTGAGGATGTGAGGAGATAATCTATTAATACAGCAAAATAGAGACCTGATCCATGAGTCTACTTTAAATGGCATTAATGTACTTCTCAATAAATCAGATTTGTCTTATTTTGGTGGTGTATTATTAGCCGTTTTTGATGGGCTACT